AATCTCATTTCTAAGGCTCCGATTAACAAAAACATTAAAAAATGTCCTCCCACATTGCTTTGACACTTGACATTTATTTCCATATTATGCGGCTGTGTACTCTCTTTTTGTTGATTAAGTAGTCTATAAGTGTTTTCAATGCTTGACAGAATGCTAAGCACAGCTTTCTTGTCTTCATCCCTGCTTCTATAATATATACATCCAAGGCCATCAGCAGTTTTAAGAAGAAACATATTCATATATAGTACACTTTAATCTTTATTATGTTGAAAACATGTTCTCAAAGACCAGGATGGAGAATATTCTTGATTTCCCCATCCAAATACACAGATATTGTAAGCCAGGAAACAGAAGGCAAAAATGTTGTGGAAGCAGATGCCAAACACCTGTAGGAAATGGGAAGAGAAGCCAAAGGCAAAAAACACAGAGGAGGGAAAAGGCTGTAATTCAGAATACAACCTTTGTTTGGGGACTATCCCAGGTGCAATAAGAAGCCCGGGAAAGATTGCAAATGCAATCCTGAAGGACAGCTATAAATCCATCTACATAATACTGAATGCAACAAATCAGTATTGTCACTTGGGGCCAAGATATCACAGACAGTAGTTGCATATTTTTAAAAGGGTCCTAACCTGTCCATTCATCTGGTTGCTACAAAATATATCCTTCCACCTGAATTGTCAGTGGTGGTGAGTTGGATGCAAAGAGAGCCCTTCTGTTCCAGACACCCTGAATAACAGAAAATGACTAGGTAATAATTCACTAGTGATTAATTCTCTGATGTTTGCACAAGGCCGGGGAGATAATGTGCCAAGTGTTGCAATGCCAGTTAGGAAAGGTGTCTCCTTTTCAAGCACCGCTGTAAGTTAGGCTAGGAGAGTAGAATCAAAGTCCCATTGAGTTCTTTTAAAATTGCCTTTCCTAATTATCAACTGTAATTCCTGTAATCAAACACATGTGGAGGGCTCTAGGCTGGAGAAGATTATCAATGCTATTTTAAAACAAAGAGCTAAGTAAGCAAGAGTTATCTCTCAAGGCCCAGTTGCCTAAGAGCCATATATTTTACCTGTATCTGATAGCCCAAGTTCACCTCAGAGAGTAAATACTGCAGTCTGAGTGCAGGGAAAAAGATAAGGGTTAAGGGAACAAGTGAAAATAGTAGGTAAAATTGAAACACAGTGCTTTTATACTAAAACAAAAAGCCCTAAATATAGGACCAAAGCACCTGATCTTTACAACCTTTAAAATATTTCTACTGCATTTCTTTTACAAAGGATTTAAAACTGCTAACAAAAGTAATGAACAGTGGTGGGTTTCTACCGGTTCACCCTGTTCAGGTGAACCGGTAGTGGCGGTGGCGAGAGGCTACGCCCACCTGCCCAGACGTCATCACGGACGCTCTGCGCATGCGCAAAAGGTTCTGTTCTTGCACAGAAGTGCCGCGAGCGAGCGAGCGCTCCCAGTTCCGAACCGGTAGCGAAGGTAAGACGAACCCACTACTGGTAATGAAAACTAGATTTTAAAAACTAGTTATCCAGTCTACACAAAATCTAAACGTTATGGTAGTCTAGAAAGGTGAAAATGATTTTAAAAATGAAATCACTGGAATTTAGTTATTTGCTCCATAAAAAATTCTAAGATAGCTAAGTGTTGTAGTTGCCAAAGAGAGAAACTGAAAATTTCTTGACATTCTCCCTTTCAGTCTAACCTACATCTCTATCAGTGGTGGGTTTCAAAAATTTTTACTACCAGTTCTGTGGGTGTGGCTTGGTGGGTCTTGCATGGCTTGGTGGGCGTGGCTTGGTGGGCATGGCATGGGAAGGATACTATAAAATCTCCATTTCCACCCCACTCCAGCGGAAGGTTACTGCAAAATCCCCATTTCCTCCCGATCAGCTGGGACTTGGGAGGCAGAGAATAGATGGGGATGGGGCCAGCCAGAATTTTTACTACTGGTTCTCTAAACTACTCAAAATTTCCACTACCGGTTCTCCAGAACTGGTCAGAACCTACTGAAACCCACTTCTGATCTCTAAGTTATTTCACACAGGAAAAAAAAATGAAAGAGACAAAGGATAGGCCTTGGTACAGTGGACTAAAGTGCTATTAAGTAGCACTTAGCTGCCAGCTGCCTGCAATTACTGCGAGTTCAAATCTCACCAGGCTCAAGGTTGACTCAGCCTTCCATCCTTCCAAGGTAGGTAAAATGAGGACCCGGATTGTGGGGGCAATAAACTGACTTTGTATAAAAAGAACACCGCTTAGGGGGGTCCAAAAGCCCTACTAAGCAGGTATTTACAAAAGTATGACGGCTATTGCTTAACGCATTGTAAGCCGCCCTGAGTCTCCAGAGAAGGGCGGCATATAAATTGAACCAATAAATAAATAAATAAATAAATAAATAAATAAATAAATAAATAAATACATACATACATACATACATACATACATACATACATACATACATACATACCACCCTGAACTCCTGGAGAAAAAAAGAAAAAGCACAAATTGGGAAAAAAAAAAAGTCAGCAACTCTGCAGAGTGAGATGAGTGGCATATAAATTTAATAAATAAGAAAATAGCTGGGGCTACCGACCCTTCCTTTTGCATTACAGAGTAAAAAGTGATGTATAACAAGCTATTGTCAAACTGGTGGCCCACGAGCTGGATGCGTCAAATGCAGGCCACGCCCACCCCTGCTCCATGAATGGGAAAAACATCACAAAATGTGATGCTGCGAGTTCGACACCCTTGTGCTATGCAATTGTCTCCTTCCTTTTCCCAGTAACTTCCATCTACCAACTTGGTACGTGTGTATCAAAATCCGCAAGATGACAAGCACAGATTCATGACTGTTATACTACTATTTTTACAAGTATGGCAACTGACACAAGCAAAAGATGCAGCTTTGATCGCAATGCACCATCTCCCATAAAGAGCCATGACCTCCTCTATCTTCAACCACTGTCTTCATCCCACCTATCATAATTAATACGATATAGCTATTTATAAACTGATTTAAACTTGATTTGTTTCCATCCAACATAGCTGTGTTTAGGCAGACATTGTCCAACTGGTATGATCTCAGAAGCTGTGAGATCGTGGTCAGCTTCAGTGTTTTGATGTTGCTCTCCGTTTCTTAGTCCTATGAAAATGGTACCTTTGATCAATAGGTCTATCCACATTAAAGGAATGGGAGTGATGGAATAATGAATTGGGTAAAGAATTTACTCAAGATGCTTCAAACTATAAAATAGATCTTTTGCAACAAAGGACTAACTGGCGTGTTATGGGAAATATGGATTAAGTGATAACTTGGTACCCCAATTCAGAGAAGATTCTGATCATCATTAGTGGCCCTAACTGGGCTCAAATTCTGTAGGAACTCACTTCAAGTGATTTTATCACCTTTCCCCAGAATAATACAATTGTCCATTTCAGTGGGTTTCCAACTGGTTAACTAATTTTGGCATTAGTATTTCTCTTCCTGCTTTTGGCTGTCCAGAGAGGTCAGTCAATGTTTGCTCAGAGGTTTTGAACAATTATCATTCCTGACCACTGGCTCTGGTGGCATGGACTGGTGGGAACTATAATCGAAACCAATAGAAACTGACTTTGTTTTCTTATTTTAAAAATAAAAGCCTTTCCTGTAAAAAGGAATCAGCAGTTATAAGAACTGTGTGTTGGTTTTTTTTTTTTTTTTTTTTTGGAAAAGGTCAAGGTATCTCCATCTTAGTCTACAATTTTGCTTTGCCAAGTGGCCAACCAGATGTCTTTGGAGTGCTTAAAAGCAGAAGATGGAGATACAGGTAGTCCTCAACTTATGACTACAATTGGGACTGTAATTTCTGTCGTAACTTGTTGATCATAAATGCAAGCTAGCTGCCTAGTGCCTGGATCGTGATCACATGATCATGGTAGTGTGCAACAGTCATAAGTGCGAATACAGGTCGTAAGTCACTTTTTCCAAGATTGTTGTAACTTTGAACCATTGGACAGTTGTAAGTTGAGGACTATCTTTATATCTTTTCCTTGGCATTGTAACCACTGGCTTAGGAGACATCAACCTAGAGATGATCCTTGATAGCCATGTCCTCCTTGAATTCATTCAGTCCATTTTAAAATTATCCAAATAACCTTGTAGTCATGAATCCCACAACTCAGTTATTTGCTGAACAAGATGCCCTTCTAGTCTTGTAAGGACAAGCAAATGTTTCTCCACCAAAGATGGCTATTTAGGGATAACCAAAGCAAGATTTTTTCTTCTCACCTTTTCATGGTCCATCCAATTCATTGGCAATGATGACAAAATAAACAATATAACAGTTTTCCCTAATGATCAATCCAGTACTTCCCCTAATTTTCCAGCATGTCGGTGAGACAGATTTAATGAACTATAGCTGCCAGCATTTCTTATCATTTGCCATATGACAGGTTGCCAAATAGGGTATCAAAAAAGTCAAGATGGCAGCCACAATCATGTGATCAAAGCCCAGCCAGTTTTTAGTGCAGCCAAACATATAAAGGGGAGGGGCTTCAGCTGTTGTCACCTTCCTAACATTTTTAATCCTCAATCCCTCCCAACACATACCCCTAAACCAGTTGGGTTCCAGGAAGAGGTAAATCAACAACATCTGAAGTTCTACAGGTGGCCCACCCCGATAGAGGCCTTTCCTTGAAAACACATAGAAAGAAAAGAATCTGTACAAATTGGAAGAGTATCTCAGATGGAAAGAAAATAACGGGATGGCAGGTGAGGACAGAAGAGAACTAATCTTGAACCTCACAAAGTTGCTGCCTCTCAATCTGCTGAAAAAAGAAAATCCAGATAATGATACTAGAACTTCCTTGCTATTGGCCATAGCAACTGTTCAGCCTTTGGAACCAGTTAAAACTGGGCTCTTGATGGGACACATATTTTACCACACTATAGTCATATGGTGAATATGGGAGAAAAAGAGGCACGGAATAAAAATTGTTATGGTTCAAAAACTTACCTTGCAATTAAACCTCAAGTGAGACAGAATAGATAATCAGCTCCAGCAGCCTTCCCCAGCCTGGGGGCCTTCCAGATATGTGGACCTCAACTCGCAGAAGTGTGGTGATTGCTGAGATTTGACGTCCATCCATCTGGAGGGTGCCAAGGATTGGGAAATCTGGGACAGAGCAAACAAACAGAACTTTAGTGAAAAGATGAAAACATGAGACTGTCGTTCGCTTATTCTTAATCACACAGAGTTAAAACCAAAGCCTTCATCGATTTTTTATAAGTAGCTAGGAACACCAGGTTATGCTGGGCTCAACAAAAAAGAGAAGGCAGAACTTTGTGGAAATCAAATTGGTCCTCCAAAATTTCCTTTAGTCTTCATACTGTCTATGATGAGAATAGACTCAAAGGAACAGTTGGCTAGCTGCATTCAGTATGTTTGTCATCAAGTATTTGTAAGGCAGCCTTCCCCAAGATGCTGTTCTTCAAATACATTGGAATTTGACTCCTGGAATCCCAGATAGTCCAATAGATGTATTGTGACTCCAACTCAAGGGCATCTATTAACCTAGGACATTCCCAAAACCGAGCCAGAACAATGTTATATCTGATCTAGTACTATGGCAGAGAAATACCATGAAGTTAGCATTTTTTTTGGCATAAGAATTCTCAGTAAATGGATGGATATGCCATATTTCAAGGTATGATTAAACCAACCTTCTAGAAGTTGGGATCCCTCATCAGTGATGAAATCCAAATTTTTTTATTACCGGTTCTGTGGGTGTGGCTTGGTGGGCGTGGCAGGGGAAGGATACTGCAAAATACCACCCCACTCTGGTATTTGCCAGTTCTGCGAACTACTCAAAATTTCCGCTACCGATTCTCCAGAACCTGTCAGAACCTGCTGGATTTCACCCCTGCCCCTCATTCTAATTATACTGAGAAGGTCTTGGGACTTGAAGAGGCAACAGTGATCCTAAGTAGGCCAACCCTGGAAATCTCCCATGCTTCCCAGAAAATGGACAGGTGAAGGGTATGTCTCCCAGCAGAGGTCAATGGTGAATCCTCAATGTAGAAACAACTGAGCAAATGGCCTGAAACTGCACACTGCAAAAAAGGCAGAGTAAATAGGCTGCCTCCTTTACTGAGAACCAATTGCTGTATCTTCTTTAATCACTAGATACTAATATGAAGCAGACTGACTCTTCATCTATCTTCTATAATTACACTCCTTGCTGGGTGCTTCAAGAACACTGACACCCTACATTAGATGTGCTAACTCTCAGAGATTTCCTTCAGGCACAAAGACTTAACTTCTATAATGGGCCTGCAATCATCAGGTTATAAGAATGTGAAATGTTCCAATCAGACTTGAAGATGCTATATACTTCAGTAGCTCCAGTTTTGCCACTTGATTGGAAAGCCATTCTGGGCTGAAATGGGCATTCTGAGAGCAGGCCACATCTCAGTGACAGAACCATGTTTTTGCATACAGAGGCTCAAGATTAGCACTTGGTTTTATCAGCTAAGAAAGAGATCAGGAAGCCTCAGAAAGATGAAATCTTAGAAAGCTACTCTATTAGCAAATAGGCTATATTAGGCTGTCCTGAACCTACAATCATTCGTTTAATGACTGTTCAAAGTTATAACAGCACTGAAAAAGTGACTTACAGCCAATCTTCACACTTATGACTGTCATAGCATCTCCACAATCATGTGATCAAAATTCAGGCACTTGGAAATCTGCATGCATTTACAACCATTGTAGTGTCCCAAGGTCACATCCTCACCATTTGTCACTTTCTCAGCTGCTTTCCAATAAGCAAAATCAAAGATTCACTTAACAACCACATGATCCACTTAACAGTGAATATGATTCACTTGAAAACTATAGCAAAAAGAGTCTGTAAAATTCTTTTAACAACTAGCTTGCTTAGCAATGGAAATTCTGGCCCCAACTGTGGTTTTTAAGTTGAGAATTACTTGTAGATAACACTGCACTATGTGGACCTAAGGATCTCTTTTAATTATATATTAATAATTAGGGTATTGATGGCTAACCTTTTTTTTCTCGGGTGCTGAAAGCGCACACGTGTGCGACAGTGCACACACATGTGCCCACACCCATAATGCAGTGCCTCCCGCATGCCCTGCCCCCCTGCGCATGCACACGCGCCCCCGTGTTTCCCCACCCCCTGTGCATGCGCGTGTGACCCCCGGGCCTTGAGTTTGACACCCCTGTTCTAGTGGGGTCATGAACTATTTTATGGAGGCATAGATATCTTCCAAAATAATTACCTTCTGTTTGTAAATTTTGGAGTGCATTGTGTCTATCGGAATACAAGAATAGCATCAAGTTCCCAAAGTTTCCAGGAGCTTATTATTTCTTTTAAGCTTTCAGAGGATCTAACGATGGCATTGTTTTAATGTGGATTGGGTTTCTCCCCTTCGCCATGAGCAGTCTTAGATTATGAGCAGAGCCCTCAGCCAAAAATTAGAAATGATCATATGTTGTGGTTTTTAAAGTCCAAACCCTTCTGTTTTTGTTCACTCCTTTTCGTTCTTTTCACCCAAAGCCATGCTCCTTCTTTACAACTGACATGCGGTTGTCATTGGTTTTCCAAGAAGAAACACAACACCACATTTGTACAAACAGTAAATGTGAGATACAAGGGACAGTGTTGTGGTATTATGTCTCGGCTGCACAAAATGAGAATAATGACCCTGTGTACCCGAAAATCAATGTCTTTTTCCAAGTATTTTAGAAACTGTACTCATTATTGCTCATACTTGCCGCATTTGCTGATCCAACTATGCCAGAAAACTAAGTGAAAAAGGAACATTTTAGTTTTGCAACAGACCTTGGAGAGCATCCCCAAAGTTACCCAATTAGAACTCTGGACAGGCTGAAATTCATCTTTGCAAACTCTTATAAACAACAGGACTGAAGAAGAAATCTACATTGCATAGCTGAGCTCGAACTCCAGCGTTATTACTCTAATCCCCAAGTAAATCCTACACAGATCATTCTCTGACCTAGAGCCAAGAGCAGCTTCAATTTGAACTTTCAATTGCATGAAGCTGCAGGCAATCCTGCAATCCTGTTCTAATCTTGTGGCTGGAATCTGCCCAGACATTTGAGGACATTGCTTAAAAATAAAATCAGATTTCGGTGTCTTTAATCAATCTGCTAAAACAAATGTTTGCTTTCGGGGATTATGAACAATCCAGAAAAAAGAAAGGTTGCTCAAAGGGCAGGCACAGGTTATTAAGTGAAGCTACACTTTAAAACAATCTGTTCATGCATTCATAAATTCCAAGATTTAACAGTTGTGTACACATGTGCAGGAACATGTGCCCACCAAATGAGCTTAGCATTGTGATAGTGATGCAGCTCTAGAAAAGCATTCTTAGATGCACCAATGAAAGTGTTTATCTCTGGAATTGAAACCATAGGAGCACTTGCTTGGGATACTATTGTATACCATATTACATTTACATTTAGTTCTTCGGCAGCCGAGTGTACAAATGTGGTCTTTATCCTTGGCCATGTGAACTACAGTGCCCAATTATGAGTGCACGAGAAAACACCATGCTCTTTCAAAACAAAACAATCGTATTTCCAAGTGCCTGAAACCCTTGCAACTTGAATTTTCCTCCTGCTCCCCATTCACTGCACAACACAACCAACACAAATGCTCAGGTTTAAAAACACAGCCAAGCGGGCAAAAGAACAGCTTATTTCAGGTAGTCCTTGACTTATGACCGCAATTGAGCCCAAAAGTTCTGCTGTTAAGTGAAACATTTGTTAAGCGAGTTTTGTCCCATTTTATGAGCTTTCTTGCCTCAGTTATTAAGTGAATCACCTCAGCTGATAAGTGAACAACACAGTTTTTAAGTGAATTCAGCTTCTTCCTTGACTTTGCTCCTCAGAAGGTCATAAAAGGGTATCACATGACCTTGGGACACAGGCATGAGCTAATTGCCAAGCATCTGAATTTTGATCACATGACCATGGGAATGCTACAAAGATCATAAGTGTGAAAAATGGTCATAAGTCACTTTTTTCAGTGCCATTGTAGCTTTGAACATTCACTAAATGAACTGTTGTAAACTGAGGTCTACCCGTATTGGATTACTGGTTAGTTAACCAGGGGTGAAATCTTCTAAAGTCTGCTACGGTTCTGCGAGTCTGCTACCAAGCTCGTGCTTCGTGCCCGCATGTGTGCTTCATGCACATGTGTGCCGGAGGTATGCCCGCGCAGCACTAAAAGAGGAACATTTTGAAGTCTTCCGAGTCTGCAAAGGTAAATAGAACAGCGAGGGAGAGGGAATCCGCTGTGCCACGCAATTTAGATTAGCTAGAAAGCAGGAAATCCGATGATTCTAGCTAATATAAATCGTGTGTCACAGTTGATCGTCACCCAGCTGATTGTCGGAAATACTGGTTCTCCCGAACCGGTAGCATTTTTTACTACCGGTTCTCCTGAACCGGTCCAAACCGGTAGCATTTCACCCCTGTAGTTAACTAAGACTGGTTAGTTTTGAAAAAATAAAAAAAGAAAAATATGGGAGTTTCTTAGGAGGACACTTCCCTCTTCCCCTTTTATCACCAATACAGATAGATACTTATGACAATTGAGCCCAAACTTTGTTGTTAAGTGAAACATTTAAGTGAGTTTTGCCCCATTTTACAACCTTTCTTGCCATAGTTGTTAAGTGAATCACTGCAGTTGATAAGTTAATAACCCGGTTGAATCTGGCTGCTCCATTGACTTTGCTTGTCAGAAAGTCTCAAAAGGTGATCACATGAACCTGGGACACTGCATCTGTCATAAATATGAGATCTGAATTTTGATTATATAATCATGGGGATGCCGCAAAGGTCATAGCTGTGAAAAACGGTCATAAGTCGCATTTTTCAATGCCGTTGTAACTTTGAATGGTCACTAAATAAACTGTTATAAATTGAGGACTACTTGTATTTAGAACGTAAGCTCAACCTTGGGACAGATGACCGTGAAACCAAACAGAAAAGGAAAAGCAGATGAGAACATTTTTAAGAAGTCTGCCTGGTAGATGCAGGGTCTAATTGGGAACCTTCTGTCTTGCAGCAAGATATTGTACTTTGGTACCAGCGTAATACAATAGCCGATACTGAAGCTAATC